CATTTGATCTGTCTGTACCATTTGACTCTATGGACTCTGGCTTTCCTCTTGACAGTTTCTTCTCCTTTGACTTCTAAGACACTCCCTTTCATGAGAGCTTCCTTATACCCTTAATAATAACAAACGTTTACTGAGCACATACTATAAGCCAGGCCCTGTGCTAACTGCTTCATAAACATTATCTCATTTACTCCTCTCCCTGTGAGATAGATGCTATCATTAACTCTACAGGTAACTTTTACAGAGATTAAGTCATGGGCCTAAATTCCATAACCAGGGGCAGTTGGGGTTAGCTTCAGAATCCGGACAGCCCTGGTCGTGAGCCTAGCCCACCACTCCACTGGAGGTCCTCATCAGGCTGTCCCCTGTGTCTCTACTACAGGCCACACTTTCAGGTTGTAGACAATGCAATCGGTGCTCTCCTTTCCCAGCTTCCTCCTCTGCAGTTCTCTAGACAGCTCCTGGGTGATCGCCCCCACAGCCTGTCCTGACATCAGCTTTAGAGCTCCTCTCCCCTCTGAGGAAGCAGTGACCACACTATTGTGATGGTCTATTTGCTTGTCTGTCCCCCAGCCAGGCTCTGAGCCCCTCCAGACAACTTTGTATGCTGGCCCTTAGTAAAGAGTCAAAACTGTTAAGGGAATAAATAGCCTCACGAAGGAGTTAGATGCATGCATGCAGGGCCATTCCTGAATGAGGTGTCACAGGTATTTGAAAACAGCCCTTTGAACCTATGACAGAGACAGAAAGCTGTGTTGAAGGGACTCTTTTTTTCAGTCTTGTAATCCTGTGACTTTGAATTTAGGAATAATAGTAGGTCAGAGGGCAAGGGGCCAGCGCACCGGGTTCTGGTGAGCTGAGCGAGAATGCTCATCGCATTGTCCAATTGCGTATTCACCCCAAGGTCAGGGCCCAGCCCAGGCAGGTGGAGCTGACGGCGTTTGGTTCTGGCATCCTGGAGGCTTGCAGCGGCCGCTCCTCACCCAGATGGGGTGTCTGGGCGACATTCCCTCCTCTACACTGGAAAGTTTTGCAAGTCCTGGAGGAAAGAACAGAGAGCTGGGTGAAGACTCTCTGTTCTCAGCTTGTCGTGGACTATGTGGTGACAGGGAAGGAGCCCAGGAATCAACTAAAACTACAGAAATATCAGCCTGTCTTGGGGGAGATGAGGCATAGGCCTTCCTTCCTAAGTCCCTGTTGAAATGCAGTGAACATGGTGTTTCACCAACGTGTCTGACCACTCTTCCCACAGGGTTCAGACCAACGCTCTCCAGGATGGTAGCCACTAGCCGCAGGTGGCTACTGGGCAATTGAAATATGGCCAGTGTAACTCAGCTACTGGACCTTTAATTTTATTTAATTTGAATTAATTTAAATAGCTGCATGAGGCTAATGGTACCATACTGGACAGTGTAGATACAGAACATTTCCATCATTCCTAGTTCTACTGGACAGCACTGCTCTAGATGGTTTCTGCTCTAATGACCAGCTTAGCATCATTAAAGGAGAAATCAGGAGCATCTAAATCATTTCATTTCATAACCAATGCAAAGCTATGGCCAACTTGAACAACATATATTTATACATACATATGTGTGTATGTGTCTGTCTATCTCTCTAGCTATATCTCTATTTATATCTTCTATCTATCTATCATCTGTCATTTACCTGCCTGTCTCCCTAGCAGCTACTATAGAGGCTCTCAATCTCTCCCCTTCCCAGCACCAGATTTAACTCAGAGGTCTATTTTCACTTAGTTTTTGCTATTTCCCCCTTTTTCCTTTCAGAAGACATTGATTGACCTCGTTGAAGGGAATGTTCTCTAAGTGTTGCCAAGGAACATCAGTGTTTTTTCTGCAGCTGGCACCTCTGAGGGTACACAGTCTCCGAGGTGTCTGCTCTGCAGGCAGGGGTGTGAGAGCACATTCCTGGTCCTCTGACCTGTGACTCTGCCAGGGCGGAGGCAGTGGCCGGGACGCGGGGCCTTGGTGTCCCAGAGGGAGTCGCTGTACCACTCATTTCTGTGTGACGTCTGGGAGAGGGTAAGGTCTCACGCTGTCAAGAAAGTTACTCTCCGAGTCCAGCAAGCAAGGAGGTCAGGCATGGCTTTTTATTTTCAAAGTATTTTATTTAAATAAGTTTTTCTTTTGGTGTGTTTGAATTTTCCAGAAAAAAAATACTGACAAATACTATACAACTTGGACCATTTATATTCTTCTTGAAAAGGTGACTGCCCTTTCTCTACAGCTTCCCCTCTCCCTCCCCCCAGGAAATAAAAAAGCAAATCCATTGAGCAGTGGGGAAAAGACTGTGGTGGCCAAGTCTGGCTGAAGCTGTTCAGAATCCCGGGCCTGGCGCCTCCTCCCCAAGCCTCTGCTGGTTTAGGAAGCTTCTTCTTTACAATTCTTTCTGCCATCCATTGGCTTAAACCTCCCAAGCAGGCTCCAGTCATGAGGCCCCCCATTGCCAGTGGCAGTTCTGGGACAGAGGCTGGGAAGAAGAGTAAAAATGGACTGAAATAAAGGGATGGAGCCAGGGTGGTGCCAGGAGAAGAGGGAACCAGAGGAGAATAAAACATGGGGGACAAAGATGAGAATGAAGTGGGAGAGGGAGTGGACTCCAATAATTGCCTTGGGATCCTTTCATGCACCCATTTATTCAGCACAAACTTGAGGGCCTGTCATGCACCTGGCACTGTTGTAGGCACCCCATGAAGGTTGCCAGAGGAGGTCTGGGTGGGGAAAAGGTAAGTCTCATTCAGGGTTTGAGTCTCCTGGGTCCTAGGCTGTGGAAGCGACTGAGAAGGGCGTTTCTGGGAGTTTCATGCCCGGAGGTAGAGCAAGTCCATTTGATTAGGGGACAGCAGGGCACTGCACCTGGAGACAGAGGCCTTGTCATGGCAATGACAACTGACTGCTGTCTTAATTCAAACCAGCAGCCAGTTGCCATGGCGACCATGTTACTGGTGCGGTCCCTGATCCCGGTGATCTGCTCTCCTAGATCATATCTGACACCAGTCTCAGCTGTCAGCCTCCATGTCTCCCCCAAGTCATCTATTTTAGGGGCACTGAAAGTTGGAGCCAGGAAGGGCAACTCGTCCTGGTGGCAGCAGTATACGTGGGGGGACAACTAGTCATCCTGTGATGTGAAGGGGACAGCCAGATGCTCCATGACAAGCTCACCATGTGACAAGGGGACAGAGAATCAGAGGGTGCTGCTTTCTCTGGTCAAAGGGGTGTATGAGTGAGGGGCCTGAGTGCCCAAGGTATTTAGGGCCACTCGGGGTGAGAGGGTGAACATGACTGTTTCTCAATCATATGTGGGCCTGAGTTATAATTCACAGGGTCACCTGTTAGAAGACCTTGGTGCAGCAGTTACTGTCAGACGCCCACCCTCCATGGGCCTGGAGTACACCTGGAGGGCAGGTGAGTACCAGGTAGCCCAAGTGAGCAAATAGAGTATATTTTTCCATTAACATAATCTTATAGATTTTAGTTTTTTCTATAAATATCATAGTTTAGCATTATTAATTAAATAGCAATTTCGCCACCAGTTAGAACAGCTTCCGTGGGAAAATATTTCAAGAGCGCTACCCAGCAGATTTGCAAAGGGACTTTCAGAGCACAACCTGCCCCCAAGGTGGGGATTATTTATCTTTGTAATAAGATTGTATTGTGTATGGTCACAATACAATCGAAACACCAACCAGCTCATCATACCAGTGGATTAACTCTGCCCAGTGGGGAGGTGCTCTCCTCAATTCACTGCAGATCTAGTTTACCTGTCCTCGCGGACCTCAAGGCACACTTGTCAACCAGACCCTTGGCTGTGCATGCACCCTCCTGCAGAATTCAACACCCAACTTCCATCTGTTGCAGCAATTATTGGGCTCACTTAGAAGAGAAGGTCACTTGGGGGACATGGCGAGGTATTGCAAGTTTAGCCTTGCATCATCACGTATCCCACAGCATCCACAGATGGTTATGAGTACTAGCCGTGTGCAAGGCACTTGCCTGAGCTTAAAGATAAATATTAATAAACCTCTATATAGCTTCATCCTACTTTCATTTAAACTCTGGAACTTTGGCATTCCATTTGCAACATACCAGGCACCCATTACAACCCTATGAAATTGTTTCCAGTGCGTCTTCTATGAGACTGTACCGGTGATTGCCTTAATTCCTTCCCTACTCAAACCTTTGGTTACATAGGAGATACCTAGCTCAGGTGTAGCCTCTCCTTTCCATCTGTAAAACATACGTTGCACAGGTACACAATTGTAGTCCACTGAAGCGAATGGAGTACAGTTGGTTTCCATAGCTTTCCAGCAGTCACTACCAAGAGCTGTTTGTTCTTGATTGGAGAAGGGCACCTCGCTGAGTGGTTCTGAGGGTAGCATCTCAGAGAGACGTCTTGGACCACATTAAATACCGATCAGTGGTAATGAGGACTTTGTCATAAGTTGCAGACAACAGCTTTCAATGAATTTTGACCCATCACACATTAAACTTTTCCTCCCAGGCGAGAGGTCAGGAGCAGAGGAACTTGGTGTGTCTATATCAAAATACTGGGATGGGGACTCTACCAGGTTGCTGGAGAGTCCAAATATGAAGATTTCCACTAAAAGGTCATGTAGGGATAGTAATAGGAAAGCGCACCTCTCTAACCTGAGTGGTGTATGGAATAGACAGTGCATAGGCACCTTGCCTGGTTATATAATTGTGCCTGTGTGCTCGAATCTGGCCGGGCCTTCCTGTGAGATGTTTGCAAGAGCAGATAATGTACTGCCTTGCTCAGGGCCTTGCACAAAGCAGACATTTGATGACCATTTTATGAACAGAATATACTTGCCCAGGTACCTGTTGTCTGAATTTGTGCGTGTGTGTGTGATGGGCATGGTGTACATTTGGGAGACATGTCAAGATGCATGGATAAATGTTCCTTGTGCTTTTGCATACGGAGTATGCCAGAGATGGGTGTAAGGCATGCCTGAGTCTGTAGTCAAGAGTATTGCTATTGGACACATAGCTGCCAAGACAGTGCCCAAGAATTGTCCATGTGCTCCCCAGGAGTGCCCTCCATGGGGACACTCAGTCTGAAGTTTGTCCCTTGGTTGAGTAGTTCCTCTGTGGACGTGAGTGCATCACTTCAGGGGGTGCTGCTCCCCACCCCGTGTGTAGCTGGAAGGCAGCTTAACCCCTGAAGGAGGACATCTCTGCTTCCTGCCTAACTAGACAGGCAGTGATGGCCTCTTCTCCATCTGGAGAAGCTTGGGCTGAGCAGAGATCCAGAGATCTTCTTCAGCCTTCTTCTTCTTCTTCTTCTTCTTCCCCTTGTTTCGCTCCGGCTGTCGGCCACTCTTGCCTGCCCGGCTCCAGCAGCAATGGCAGCAGATAAAGAGGAGTGTGATGACCACCAGGAGTGGCAGCCCCAGGAGGACGCCCAGGCAGATGGTGTTGAAGAGGCCCTGTTGGTGTTTGCTTGAGATGATCTCCCAGATGGCACTAAAGAAAGAGGTGATTTTCTCCATCGTGCTTGGCTAGACTGGGGCCAGAGGACCCTCTCAGCTCACTAGCAAGTTCTGGACTCAAGAGGATGCAGCCTTGCCCACTTGTAATTTATTCCTCTTCCAGCTTAGGGTTTGGGCCTGCCACTGATAGCACCTGAAGAGAGCAAAACAGGCTATTGAAGAGAAATACAGTGGAAATGGTCTATAGTTTTTAATAACATCATAGATTTTAGGCTTAAGAAAGGGAATGGAATCGACAGTTTCCAGAGTTCACTGAAATTTGTATTAAGACTCAATAAACTTTAGCTAGATGCATGCATTTAGTCAATAAGTACTAACTAATTCTTGCTGTGCACACACTATATTGGGCTTAGGATATAAAAATTAGTAGTCTATCAGACCTGGCACATAGTAGGTGCTCAGCAATGGTTGGATAAATGAACCAATGTGTGTATTCAGTGTTCTGGTTAGGGGTTTGCATCCTGAGCCCTGTACGAGAGCAGTTCTCAATCCTTTCTCCACTGCAGCTGACCTGATAGCTATTGAACACATACTCCCCACAGGACAGCTCTGTTTCTGAGCTTCTATGAATACAACTTGCCATTTTCAACACTTAGTAAAGCTTAAGCACAAGATGAAATGTCTAACTCTTGCTGCCTGTCATAGGGGAGGTGAACCTCCCCCAGGCTAAGAGGTTATCAGTCTTCATCCTGCCTCACTCCTGCCTTCTTTACTGTCCCTTCATGCTCCCTTCCCTGCTCCATGTCTCCTCCCTTTTACATCCCCCTCCTGTGCCTAATGAAGACCCACCATGCTTTGGTCTGGGGGACCATTTGCTGGTTCTCTCTGTTTCTACCTTCCTCTCCCTCATTACCCTCATCTTTGCTTTCTGTCCCTCAACCAAATATTCCCAAATTTCCTTCCCTGCCTGTTCTCTTTCTTTGCTGTGAAGCAGTCTTGCAGGCTGCTCAGCAATGGTGCTTGGAAACTGGGATGGGGTCGCTGGATGCCTCCCTTTTCCTATCCTCAGCTCAGCTTACATCTGGGGCTGTTCTGGTTGCTTGTACAGAGTGGCCCCTCTTCCTTTGGCACCTCCTCCACTTCTCCACACATATCTTAGGCCTCGGCTCTCAAGTGTAAGGTCTTAGAGGCTCCTTCGGATCTGAAATCCACAGGTTCTTGTGTTCAAACAAGACATGAAGGACAGGCATGATTCAAGGAAATTTAAGAGATCTCTTGGTTTTTTAAGAATTTTTTGGCAATTTAAGACATTGCCCTGGACCCAAAGATCAAAGAGTCATTGATTTTCAGGCTTGAGACCTTAGGGATCATCCCAACCAACGTTCTCACTTAAAGATTAAGATTCTGAGGCCCAGAGTGGGGAGGTGACATGTCTGAGGCCACACAGAGCTGCGACGAACATCCAGACCTCTGGACAATGGGTCCTGGGCTCACCCAAGGCTGCTGGGCAAGCAGAAGAACTAAGGATGATGATATCACTTTATATTTGTATTTCACTTGATACTTTTCTAATCACTTTCACATGAATTATGTCTTTTAAGTGAGCAGTGGGATGGTGCATTGTCTATGGAGAAAACCACTGGGGAACCTGGGTCTAGAATCATTCTGAAGACCAGGATTCATTCTGTTGTCCTGCCCTGGAGTATAAATGTGTGTCCCCTGCTGAGTGGGGTGTGATATGTGGTATCCCAGGGGGTGCCCTTGGAACTCTAATTCCTTGGATAACACATTCTGTAAGTGTTCCATGTACCCAGTGCCCAAGTGTCCATCCAAGCCCCACCTGACCTCAGTCCTAGTCTCCACACCCTCATGACATTAATTATACAATTTATACAATTGTGTAAATTGGCACCTGCTACTGTGCCATTTGGCCTATGCAAGTGAAGTAATGCTGTAAGATGGCACTGACATGCCAGTCACCGTTCTAGGCACTTTACCCCTATTAACTCATTTAGTCTTCATTACAACCTTATGAAGTAGGTACAGTTACTCCCTCCATCCCACAGCCGGAGAGACAGAGGCATGGGTCACACAGTGAGTGAGCAGCAGAGCTGGCCTTGCTGATTCTGGGAAGTTTGGCTCCAGATCCCCAAGGTGTGAGCCCTTCACAGGTGTTGCCCTGGGCCTCCTATGCCTTTGTGTGGAATTAACCCATTTTGGCAAGTAGCCCAGGATTTATAGAATCTTATGATATCTGGCTATTCCCCGGGTTGACTTAAACGTTTATTCCAGTCTGTTGTAGAAAAAAGACTGCAAAGAGATTTATTCCCCATTGTTAAATACTTCACAAATGCATGAAGATACATACAATAAAAATCCAGTCCTGCCCAAGTGGAGCTTTACAGAAAGCATATGGCTGCCTGAACTTAAACTCAACATGCAACAAAGAAAAGTATTCTGAGAAGTCACATCCCCTCATCAGAGGTTCTGCTCAAGCCCCTCTGAGGCCCTGGGAACAACGCATGCTGTAGATCTGTCCACACACCCTCAAGCCCACAGGCTATTTATAGGGAAAAACCACCCTAGGATCCTAGAACCCCTCAGTGGGGCCACTCCCCTGCCTTGCTGCTTCTCACATCACTCGTCTCTCTGGATTTTCCTTCTCCCTTTGCCATAACCTTGGCTTTGACCTCAGCCTTGTATGGCCCAGTAGTTTTTGGCCCATCTAGAAGGATATTTCTGCTCTGTTGTGGGAAGACTTTGAGTGATTTTCTCTAATTTGATCCACACATAAGCTTTCCTGGGACCAAATGCTCCTTGCACTGCACTTCTGTGATTCATATTAGACAACACCACCACACTTGTTGACAAACTATTCTGTGCCAGGGGTCGTGTGGTCCCTGTGGGGAGCATAAGTGCATCAGGGGCGACTCTTGGGTTCAGCCAGAAAGAGAGAGGAAGGACATTGAGCTCCTGGAGAATATTAGGGCAGTTTTCACGAAGGTAGAGCCACTTGAGGAGGACCTTGAAAGATGAGTAGGATCTTGACACAGAAACATGGGTAAAAAGAACGTTCAAAGATTCCAGGCAGAGAAACTTCTAGAATATGGGCAGGAGAACAGGGGGCCTTTTGGTGAGCCTGGGGCTCAGGGTGGGAAGGGAGAGGACTGTAGGTTGTGGCCATAGTAGAGAGGGCTTTCACAGGGTGTGCATTTAACTGGGGGCTTTATAACAGGAGGATGTTGTGATCAGGGTTGCCCTTCAGGAGAAGATAACAGGAACCAAAAAGTCCTGCAAAATGTTTTAACATTTAACATCCATTTACAAACATTTATTGGGCACCTCTTATGTGTCACACACTGTAAATATTGAGAATTCAGGAATGAGTGACAAAGATATGGTTTTGGATATCAGAGACTTGTACATTCCAGTGGGGTTATTATTATTGAGGGATCATGTCATAAAAGACAAATATAATGAGCAAATTCCAACTTAAGCTCCTTAGTTGGCTGAAATAGAAGTATGCATTTGAATTATGTGTTTATCACAAAATCCCAGGTCCTCCTACCTCTCCTAACCTTTGTCTCAAACTCATCCATCCCATGGCACCTAAAATAGCCTTTGAATAAATAGGTTTCTTTTCAAGCTAAAGCTAAGACAATAATTCACTTCTGGATCCCTAAAGGTACTTATTTGAGTCTGCTCTCTATACAGCCAAAGAGAGTATTCATTCACATTTGGGAATCCAGTCTGGGGAAAATTCAATTAAAAGGTATTCTTTATATTTTTTAATCTAAGAATTCTCTTCTAGGCCCCCAGGTTACTTGCTGAGCTCTGCTAATCTATAGTGCTTCATTAGTATTTATGAGCTTCACTTTATTAGCATTTCCAGGAAACAATCAAATACCTCCTTGGTGGTATGAATTAAAAGTTAGAGCTTCCATGGAATGGTTTGCAAAAGGAGCCATACTCTGGGCCTTAGAAATGCAGTCTGGGAGACCCCATCCTTTTGTTGGCTCTCAAGTATTGGGAACACTGTTTGAAAGATAATTCATCTATTCTTGTAAAACCAACAATAGGTGTCAACCAACTTGCTTGTTTGATTGTGGCTGTGGGTTTGGGTGTGAGGATAGAGAAGAGGGGAAAAGTTACTTTCAGTTTCCCTGAAACCAAAAATTATTCATCTCTATATTCTATATTCTTAGTAGTATCTAGCTGGGGAGAGAGTCATTTATTCATTCTTTCTTCTAACAAGCTTCTGTCTGCCTGTGTGTGAGGTGCTGATGGAGAACAGTGATCCTGGAGCCAGAGACCTGGGTTTGAGCCCTGGTCAACTCTCGTGATCTTGGTGAATTGCCGAACCTCAGCTACAAAATGAAGCTAATAAGCTTCCCTTGTAATCGTGTTGTGAGGATTAAAAGAGCTCAATATATTTAAGGCATTTTGTAAACTGTAAAATACTACAAAATATCATCTATAAAATAATGGGTTATCTCCACATAACAATGGACTAATTCTAGCCTTGAGCTTTTCTTCCGCATGCCATACCTTCAAGCCCAGTCCTCATTGCCAAAGAACCATGGGCCCCACTCCATGCAAATGGAAAGGGCTTCACAGGTAACCTGCCTGCTTATGGCTGGTCTGCAGGTCTGTGGCTGTAATTCTAGGCTCTGGTATCCAGCAACAGGGATGGAGAAGGGTCACTTGGGGAATATCTGATGCTGTCTGGAGGATTATCGAGCTCATAAAGTCAGGCCCAGGGGAACACTTAGACCTCTGCAGGCCCCAGCCTCCTTCCTAGGCTTTAGAACCCCTGGAAGTGTACAGTGATGGGTCCTTCCACAGGGAGGTCTGATCCATCCCTGTGAGCCCAGAGCTGCTCCAGAGTTGTGTCCAGGGCTGGCCCTCAGCCTGGTGTTCCTTCTGGAGCTCCCCAAACAGGGGGCGGGGCATTCTACTTTGCACCAGCCTCTCACTGATCCTGTTTATTAGATGAAGTAATACATGTAAAGCTGTAGAATAGTGTCTGTCAGATTGTAAATGCTTTCTAGAAATGCTCATGATAAGGATTATGTTGGTACCTAATCAAAATCCCTGAGACGGACTCCAGAGTGACCTCCAAATGGTCCAAATCTTTAGCCTTCTTGAAGGGTGAAGTGGGGTGAGGCAGGAGGCTCAGGTCTCTCTCAGAAC